ACCATGGAGAACTTCAAAGGAAGAAGAAGAGAAAGATCAACTCTTCATCAACATCTGAAAATGTCAATCCGGATGAGTTGAAGGAGAAGGAAACTGCTGAGGAAACCTCTATTCAAAACCGGAGCCCTCAACAATTTGAAGAAGAAATTCCTCAAGTCCAAAGCCTTCCAACCTCATCTCAGCCTCATACAGATGATGCTGACAACAAATTCTGGCAGCTCTACTATAATTGGAGAGCTTGGAAAGTTGGAAATTCAGAAGAGCAACTGTTGGATTGGGACCAACAGCTGAAGAATGAGAAGATTATCAAGAAGTGCTTAGGTATTCCAGTCAACCACAACTGTGAAGATATTTTGAATGATTACTGGGTATGGCAAAAGAACCCTGAAGACCTGCATATGGAATACCTGGCCAACACACCAGTTTCAGACTGTGAAGCAGATGATGAAGACACTGCAGTCTTCAAGCCAGTCTTCTCAAAAGCCACAGAAGATCAAATGGCTCCCACTTCTGAAGAAATAGCTGTTTTGGAAACAACAGCTGAGGATTTCCCTATCTTTCCGGAAACCTCACCTGCGTTTGAAATGGTTCTGACTGAAACTGTTCAAGAGAAGGCAGCCTCTCCCCCACAAGAGCAGAACCAAGAAGCAACTGAAGAAGAAGAATTTTAGCGACTGATCCAATCTCAAGTACTCGAGATCCTCACAACTCCTTGTGAGATCTCCAATCAAACACAACTTGAGATTCTGGAAAAGTCAGCAGAAATCCCGGAACAGTCAGCTATTCCAGAAATCATGGAGAAAGCAGTAGAAGTCCAAAGACACTCTGGAAAAGTTGAGAAGGAAACTCAGATGGCAGAAGTGGAGGTCTCTCAAACTCCAATAGCCATTTTTGAAGAACCAAATGAAGCTGAAGATAGTGACTCCCTCTCCAGATACATATCAAATTTTGCACTTGATGAAGCAGAAGGAGAATCTGAGAGGACACTAAAGATCACTGATGATGAAGATGTGCAAGAAGATGCTGAATCTCTTCCTTTGCAACTCTTTCAAAGGACATCATCTCCTCATCAGGTAACCAATTTTCACTTCCATAGCTCTTCCACTCCTACTCTTCCGGATGAGATACCGGAAACCTGAACAAAGAAGGTCCAAGGGCTGATTGAGTCAGCCCTAGCATCTCAACATGCCTCCTTTAGGCAAGAGATAGAGCTAATGGAAGCCAAACACACTGAGCTGATAGAGAAATCTGAAGAGAAACACAGCGCTGATCTCAAGGAGATAAGTAAATCAGTAGAAAAGACTCTAGAGATCATCTCTCTACTGAGTAAAACTGTGAGCAATACGATGGAAATATACACCTCTGACAGTCAACTGCAATTCAATGAATTCAACAAAGTCAAGGAGCAAATAGCAAATGTTACAGTTAGTCTACAAAAACAGATGTCCCTTCTCCAAATGGACATCAGATCAGCCCTAGCTATAGCTTCAGCAAATCAGGTAGTAACCAAAGACTACTTGAAGGTGATCATTGACAATCAAAAGGAAGCATACAAGCTGTTCAGACTTATTGGTGCACATTCTGGGAACCGCAAGATGGAAATAATTCTCCAACAACACAGTCCATCTCCAATACCACAGCTCCCTATTGCAGTCAACGAAGGAGAAGCATCTTATGTCCCTTCTCATCTGCACATGACTAATTTGATCCTTGAAGCACAGCAAAGAAATCCGGAAAACTCAGCACAGCACCTATCCAGCTCAGGACTGGATGGAACAGAATTTATAGGTGCAGTTGCTGACCACTTCTCAGATGATGCTCAATCAGAGGAAAGGCGTGAAAATTTAAGGCGCATCAAAGAACTGTGTGGGAACATGCAGGGCATCAGTGAGGTTGCCGGATCTTCAAAACGCAAAAGGAACTGAAGGTTCTTTTCATCAAACCAGGGGGAAAGTATGTGAAAACATTTGTTTTGATGAAAACACCTTCTTGTTTAAACATTGCTTGATTGGTTTAAAAATTGCTTAAGTATGCCTTAATTGCGCTTATTATGCTTGATTATGCTTATCTCAAGTATGATTTCATCTTAATTATTTTTTTGAAGCGCATACATTCAGGGGGAATGTAATTCAGGGGGAACTTACCTAGTTTTGGCTAACAATTGTTTTTGGCAATGAATTATTGATAAGCTCAAAGCAATGGAAGACGGATATCTCAGTTTTGGTACTAAAATTGGAAATCTCCGATTCAGGTACTTTACAAAATCTGCCTTCTTAAACTAAGCTTTAGTCCTTAATTCATTTCCAACGTGCTCTAAAAGTACTGGTCCCTAGGATGTTTAAAAATGTACAGGACTTTGGAAAAATAGTACCACTTTTCTTTTAAATATTCATATTTGTTTTGGTGCTACCTCGTTCTAAGTAGAAATTAGAACTATAGGGAATGAAAAATGATAGTCTTATTTTGGGCCTTGAGAACCCAATAGGAATAATTTCCCTTTAGTAAATAGCTTTCTTTTCTTTTTGGGCCACTCTTTTGGGCTTAGCCAAACTAAAACAGTTACGTTTCTCAAACCAATCGAAACTGATTTTCAAATTAAAACAGTTTCAATTCTTTGGTAACTGGTAAAAGATTCCTTCTACTTTTCAACTTCTTGGAAGTTGAAACTCATTTACTCTCACCGTTCCAACTACCCACTTAATGGAACTCGTGAAACTCCTCCTCCCCTATTTAAATCAAGATATCTCAGTCCACTTTCATCACAAACAACTCTCCCAATATGAAAAGTCTTCAAACTCACTGTCTAAGGAATACACCAAGAAAAATATCCTCAATGGAGAAACTTTTCTTTCTCACCCTCATAGACGGCAATGGAAGAAGCCTATTGAGAAGAAAAGACTTTTAAGGTCTATGGTGAGAATCTCGGCAGTAGAGAAGGTCTATGGTGGAAATCTCAAATTTTTCAGTATTAGACCATACACCTTCTCTGGAACAACACTCTCTCTCTATCTTTCTTCTTATTTTGAGAGATGTGTTGCTTCCAAGATCTTGAATATCCACTTTGGATATTAAAGATCTATCAAACGCAACGCCAACTGCTCAGCCAAGCAGAATCTGCTGAAGCTGAAAACAGTCAAGGCGAAAGAGATCACAAAATCTCAAGACAAAAACTTGGTTTAGGAATTATTGTAATTTGAATTGTATTTGTTTAAGAGTTTTTGTTAACAAGCTGTATATTATGAGAAACTAAAAGAAAGTTATAAAATTAGTTCTCAGTACAGCGACCGGAACTCTTAAACACTTGTTTGTCATCATCAAAAAGGGGGAAATTGTTGGGAAAAATATTATAGATTTTGATGATGATTTATTTAGAATGTAATAGGGACTTTAGGTCTCCCCCAATATTCAATGTAATTTTTCTTTTTAGAAATATTGTTAAAACCAAGTTCTTGAGTTTTC